GGCCTTTGTTTTGGGCCGGCCTCTCTGACGCCCGCTCCGACTCGCGGCCTTTGTTTTGGGCCGGCCTCTCTGACGCCCGCTCCGACTCATGGCCTTTGTTTTGGGCCGGCCTCTCTGATGCCCGCTCTGACCCACGCGTTCTCAGGAAACCTCTGCTGCTGCCACCGAGGTCAAGTAGGAGATGGTAGATGCGACAGGCAGACGGGCAGAGCCACCACAGTGTCATGGCAACGACGCTCCACCCAGTATTACAGCAACAGCCTTGGGAGCGAGTCACAGTGCCTCCACCCCCATCCTGTCAAAGACTGTTTTTGTAGTACTGAAGACTGAATTAGCGATCTGAGGTGACACATTCCTGAGCGGGTAAAGATCACAACGATCTTTCTGAAAGAAGCTTTTGGCAGGTTGACTAGTAGCTGAAGGATCACAGCGACTGACCTTGAGCAATGATACTTCCACGTTCAAACGACTTTTCTCCAATATAGTAGTGGGGGGGCTTTAATGATAGAAAACCCAATGCCCATCTCTGAACAAAAGCAACACAAATGATACAATACGCCAAAGAAATCTAAGGAAAAGAGTTTAAATATGTCCATACATATTGTACAAGTCCTGCCATGACCCCGACACGGTCAGAAGATGGATGGATGGATGTATATTATACAGGACAAATATATCAAATATTGCTTCTTTTATAGCTATAGGAATATATTAATGTTGTCATGCAAATAAAGATAAAATTGCAATGTTTAATATATTTGCTATACAGGATTCAAATTGGCATAATACATTTTTCATAATTTTTACTTTTAAATTTCATTTCAGTTCCAAAGTAAAAGCTGATAATTTAACTGTATAATGAAAACAAAGCCACAGGGATCATGTGAGCGTAAATTGAGTCCGATATGCACAGCACAGATGTAAATGCGGGTTCCACATGTAAACAGTGCTCAGAAGCACCACGTGACCTGTCCGGTCGTTTGACACCCCGCGTTACGGAATGATAAGTGCAGCTTATTGTTTGGTATGGATGACACATGAACCATCAGTCAAAGAAACAGACAGTGTTATTCTTCTGGTTTCCTGCACAGAAATGTCTGTAATGCTGGAACGCCATGTCAGATCGTGCGCCGGCAGGAACATGATGGCGCACGGCACATATGCAAAAAGTCAGGTTCGCCACTTTACTGTGATATCTATACACGGGATGTAAACCTGGTGTAATACTCCCTCATTCATAGCTTGGCCTGGTATTTTCTTGCTGGTTTCTCTCACATTCATTTGCTGATACCCCTGAAATCACTGCTGATTGGTTAAGGCTATAAGTGTCATCGCTGACTGACACTTGCAGTGCCTATTAGAAATGTTCTCAGCGAACATCCCGTTTAACTGAACAAGTGTTAGCCCCCCCGGTACAGTCCATTGCACGCTGACGAATACAGACTGCGTTTATCCCCAAATATCCTCTCTGCCCCTTTCAAGGTTAATGCACATGGCCGAGGGTTTGGGGCCAGGCTATGGGTGTGGGACTCATCTCAGCGGGGAGAAAGCTCATACGTCACAGCACACTTTCCAGGGCCGTCCTGGTCCGCTGATCATGCTCCACACACCTGCTGCCGTTCTGCCCGCACGGGAGCCGGAGGCTAGTGGACTGTAGCTCCCCAGGACACAACATGCTGTGTGCACTGAGCCTGTTGCTAGGGCTCAGGTACAAGTACCCTCCCAGATGGCTGTCAGAGGGGCTTCCAGGCAGGGAGGAAGGGGAGGTGGACGCCCATGTGTGGTAGGCGCTGAGCTCCACCGGGGCGCCCTTGTGAAGATAGCTGGGGCTGGGGGTGGCTGAGGAGAGCGTCCGCTGGCTACCGTTGAGGCAGGTGGAGTTGTTGCCCACGGAGTCTTTCCTCGAGTTGCTGGAGGAGCTGAGGTGGGAGCTCCGGTAGTTGTAGGCCTTCCAGCCTGGGCGTTTCCTGTGCCGGCACTGGCACCTGAGGATGCGGATGAAGGCCAGCTTGAACTCCCGGCTGTAGCAGGGGTAGATGATGGGGTTCAGACAGCTGTTGAAGTAACCGAGCCAGAAGATCACATTGAAGAGGGGTTTAGGAGCACGCAGGCTGGCGTTGAACGACCCTGTGGAAGACATAAAGATTTTAAATAGGTGTATTTGACACATATTAATTCTTCCCCTTTTCAATATTGTTTTATCACTCTATCATTATTTTATTTGTTCAGTATTATTTTACTATTAAAAACTACCTGAGTGTACATTTCAGCACCTGCAATGTGCTTTATAAACCAGAAAATATATAATATATATAAAATATATAAAAATCAAGGAATATGCTAAGTATTCAGCTGAACTTCTCATTCGGTGAATGAGTCTCAGCAAACCTTATAATCCGTTCCATCTCATCGTAATTGAGGGCCTGGGATTAACTACCCATAACCTTTTTCATACGTTTTCGTTCATGTTGCCTGTAACGACTACTTGTTGTCCGACAGAGGGCAGCATATGACAACAATTAATATTGATAAGTTGTATTCGTAATGCTGGCCGCATTGTTATTTTATTTTTTATGTAAAAGTAACCACTATCTGGTTTTTTAAAAGGAAATGCCATCAACATTCTTTTTTGCTTAATCTTGTAAACACGCGGCGAAGAGAGGCAATTAATCCAGCATATTTGCGTGTGACATTAGCCCTATACAATTTTCTTTCCCCATACTCCACCCCGCTGAAAAAAAAATCTATTTAAAACCCAAGAATGATGCGCGCACACATGGGCACGCCGAGCCCCTCTCACAGCGCGCTGCCGAGGTCAGGATGGCGTGATAGGGCCCTTTTACTTTTCAGTCATTGGCTTCCCAGGGTCTCTCAGGTCCTCTTGGGGTCTCCAGTAAACACGATTCCCCCAGGACTTTGGTACTCCTCTCTGGCCTCGCAGCTATTTTTCGGGGGAGGGGGGATCTGCCCTGTCCCGCCGGCACCGCGGTGTGCATTTGACGGGGGGTGTGATGAATCGCATTCCTATTCTGTTACACTTTCTATAAAACGGGGAAAAACGCAGACAGAAAACCTCCGCAATTCATACTCAAGCGGCGGTTCTTGCTTTGCGTTTGCTGGAAGGCAGCACCATGGGACTGTATCGCCATAAACAAATCACCGAAACTACCGTGGCTTCCTGTATTACCATTATTTATGATCACATTTTTGACAATATACGGGTTTTTCTTTATAAGCGCATTCGTTTCCAATTTAATCTAAAATCTAAAACCATCTGTGCATCCAATATTTTTAAACTAATTTTATCTATGTCATTCCACCATTTTAATTCCACTTTTTAAAAACGATGCATAATGATTTTTTTCCAGCAGTCTCTTTGCCAAACGTCCCATTATGGAAAGGATCTTTACAGTTAATGAAATGAACGCTAAAGACGGCCCCGCTAACTCTGCCATGCATTCTGGGGGAAAACCACAGTAAAATCTGATAAAGTGCCCTGGCCCGGGGCTCTAGGCTTGGGGAAAATGTCCCTGCAGGACCAGATCAGATGGGCTCCCGATAATGCCTGTCCTAAAGTGATAGCCCATACACACGAACCATTGTAACCCGCACCGTGAGTGAATTGAGTTAACCAAAGTGCACAAATTACATTCAAGCGCTAACGCAACAAGTAGTCTATTTCAGCTACTATAACGAGAGGTTCGGCTAAATGAAACCACCGCTTCCATTAATTACCATACCTTTTAAGGATTATACTGGATGAGAAATGTTTAATTTTACATGTGAGGTTTTTTTTTCTTTTTACAGAAAAAGTCGATTTTCAGGTTAAAATTACAGAGATGGTGTATTTTTTAAAGGAATGACAAGATGCTGAATTTTGCCAAACAGGCATAATAGGATAATAATAATAAAGTATGATGTGATGTATTTTGATAAGTTGTAAAGATGGTCATGCCGCATTTAACAAATAGTCAAGATTCAAAAGATGCTGCTGTTCCATTTGGCAGCCGCCATTTCTTCTTGCTTTCCTCGTCACCACCGTCGGACACAAGAGCCCCTTAAACTCCATTGTTTGTGCAAATGACACCCTAAAGAGGCGTGTGCGTGGGGTGGGGTGTGTGCGAGGAACCCATCCCATACATGATATAATCCCGCTCCATGGTCACTCCCGGAGGTGAAAATGGCATGTGGAAGCACCGGCCGCTGAGTGAGAGGGAAGGCGTCTCCCAAAGGGTGCGGACACACGGGCCACATTCTGCTCTTATCGCAGGCCCTGTCGTCGTCATGCTCCACTCCTCATTCCCCCCGGAGCACCGCGCCATCTGGCACCCCTGCCCACGCGGCCGTAACGGCCAGCTACCAGGCGGGGGAGGCTGGAAGGTAAGCGAAGGGGCCTCAGACCCCGGGTACACGCTGCCAGGTAAGAAACGGCCCCCAGGAGACCGGCTTTGACCCACGTAGGGAGGGGGACGGGGTGGAGCAGGCTGGCTGTGAGGACTACGAAGGGGGGAGGGAGGCTTTCGCGAAACATTCTCCAAAGCAAAAGGCTTCCCCGACAATATCCCTTGAGATGCTACTCTATCGGATGTCACGCTCCCTCTCAAAGGGAATCCCAATAATTAGCAGGCACTCAGCTGTACACCTAAAAGTCCAACAGGGGTTTCACACTGCACAAGAGATTTACTCTTACAGGGTCGCTGAGCACTGTTAATTAAAGGCAAACACAAACTAACTAGCTCAGGAGAGACTAGAAAGGAAGAGACATATTGGCTTTGGCGGCCGGTGCAAAAGCCGGCTGGCCAAAAATAATCGGCCACTATTATCTGCAAAAAGCCCGTGATAATTCTCTGTGCTGCTGGCAGCTGTGATATCTGTAATCCGATGCAGGATGGACACCCAACACCACGCTGGACTTGACGACCTGCTATTTCTGTGCATTCACCCAAGGGTGCTGCAGACTAATATGTAATTAAAGTTTCCCCATCGACAGCTCAGTGGCGGTGGATAGACCATCACTAGCTATGGGACTGGATAAAGAAACAGTGCGGAGTGACCCTGCTCTCCACACGGGAGAATGCAGGCTTGGGAATGTGTTACCATCCACTTCTCAGGCATTCGAGATTTTTCATTTGTCTTGCGCTGCCAAAGATTTTGATGTTTTTTTCCACATAGGTTACATAATAATGCTGATAAAAATCACGTGTTGCCCAGCTAAAGCAAACTCTCATCGCAGGATGTGATTTAGTAGAATCTGACTTGAGTCCAATATTGAATTTTCCTCATTTCGATCCATCATCGACAAAATTAGCGATGCTGCTCTTTTGTTAAGCCATGCTGGTTTATCACCATGGTTGTTTTCACTTTATTCTGGGCTCTAACACTCATCCCACTTCCTGTTGACTTGTTGTCGTGTGGGGGAGTGTAGTCTCACAGAAAAGGGGCGTCTGGCTGAGTTTGGTCTGAGGCAGTGCATGATGGGTAATTGACTGAAGTGTTACTGAAGATCTGAGCATTTTTCCACCTGTGGTTTATGGGCGACAGGCAAGAGATGTCAAAAAGATGTCACCACTGTCAGAAACAAGAGCTGCCTCTGTGAGAAACAAAAGATTCACATCGTGGTCGTCCCACCCTCAACCACGCATTCACTCAGTGACATCGCTGTCAATCAGTAATCACTGAGATTGACATGTAGCTGCGTAGCACACAATGAGAGCTTGCACACCACAAATTGATTAATCAAAGCCTAGTGCCATATGCTCATCAAGCACAAAGATAGCTGCTACACCATGGTAGCCCGACTGATGTGATCTTTAAATTAATTGGTGAAAAACCACCCTGAGCTACAATATAATTTCATTATGACTTCTAAAGGCAAGTCTGAGATGTCAAGTGAAGAGAGATATAAACCGCCC